TTTCTAAGAATATATTCAACCAATTTTCTGCAGATCTTCTGGCAAGATGGCAATTTATACTATTCGGAATCCGCCGAATCGGCTACATCTGTACGAATCACAAATGGCGGTCAAAACTGGGCGCATGGTATCTTCGACTGGGTCTATAAAGAAGAAATTTATGAACGGGACGATAAAGTGAGTTCTAATGTAACCATCTCGTCCCTTATTGACAAAGATTCGTCGATAAAGCTACAGGGAAACAAACATACCACAATCATTCGTTATTTATCCTTACATATATATGCACCACAGTGAGTAGACTACACTGCGTTTCATTGCTATGAGCCCACCAAATCGCATGTTGCGGACGAAGGGTTGAACATACTGAGCTGTTGTATATTTTTTTTGAATTTACCAAGTGGAATTATTCTCATCTGTTAGGTTTCATTACGCTAGACTGCTCCTACACTTTTCAAAGGATTGTAAAAAGGTAGAATAATGTGTAAAAATGTTTTATTGTATAGTACTTGCAAAAAAAAAATTCTTGCCTATTGATATTCCTTTATCACAATCGTTCTATCATTCTTGAGAAGTCGAACTTTCTCAAAAAAATATCTTGCTGGTTGGTGAAAGCTCTAATGATAACTATTTGAAAAAAAAAAACATTTTAACAACTTTGGCCCCATCTTTACTTATTCAGATAGTTAACACTCTCGCTCTAAACTCCCAAGTTGCCCTGCCTGCAGTAGAAGATTTTCATCATTGTCTCAAACAAGCTATAAAAAGTTGAACGCAGTTCAGGATTTCAGGATGCTCTTGCAGATTTCTTTCCTAGCTCTCGCCCTCACATTGCGTCTGTTTAGGAAAATCCCTTTCGCATTATTCTTTCTAAGAAGTGTTGTTTCTGTTGCAACATTTGGCGGGTCTCATCCGATTTTGTTCGTTAATCACATTATTGGTCTTCCTTGTGGTTTTTTATCAAGCCTTCTCCAACAAAGCCAACAATATCATACGAGTTTCCCCTCTCTATACATCCATATCAGTGTAAAGCCTCTCCTGCATCTTCTGGGCAATTTAAGAACGCTCCTTTTGCAATGACAATGCCGATGTAGCTGCGAACTATTATTGTAAGAATAAAGGTCCACCACACATCCAGTCTCCATAAAAGCAAGCTGTTCACTTCTTTCTGCGTACTCGGACAACAATGACTCACGCAACGCTTTTGGGCGTATCATAATGAGATACACGGCTATGCAATAGCATTTTTCTTATAGAGCCGTCTGTCCAATCTTCCACTTCACCCAATAATCTGGCCAACAGATTCTTAAATTTCCTCCTTTCGCGAATATGCAGCTTTCTAGTTATTTGAAGGATCTCGCTTATTTGATTGGCTCACCACTGATGCATTTGGCCTTAGAACATCTTGCCTCCACATATTCGCTTCTCTTCGTGTTGAGCTTCAAGGCATGCAATTCCAGCCTTCTCTGCACCTCCTCGTAAACTT